ATATTTATATAAACTATTATATAAACACTTCTGCAGTGAATGGTAATAAGTCTATGAATACATACACAAAAATACAAGTGGAACAGGTGTGAAATAGGAATATATCCATAAATATATGTACGTTTGACAGTTCATTTCTACATATGTTATTTACAAATGGGACAAATGTATCCATGAAAATGGTGGAGCATATAAGGAACAAAGTTAAGACCTCAGTCTCGGGACACCAGGGTCAACTGGCCCAACAGTTTACAGTGTTCTACATTTCACTTTAGTGACTAGAAGCTAGGGTCTTAAAAGCTCATGAGCAGCCACCGCAAGGTCCAAGTAGTAGTCTCCCCAGCCAGAGCAGAAAAAAGCATGTACTTAGTCTAGTGGACTAATGGACCATGTGAGCATCAGCCCACCCCCACCCCTGCCCACCCTGAGACCAGAAGTAGAAAGTACCACCAACTCCTCTGGTATGGGTGGCATTCCAAGGTCATGAGAAAAGTGTGAAATCTCAAAATCATTAAAAAGGGAAACGTTTGTGAGGGTTAGGAAAAAGAAAAAAGACCTGCCTTACCGAGCTAGAACTCGTAGACTATGGCCCTTCCTCATTCTTCAGGTCTAGACCTGAACTCACCCCTGAGGCTCAATCTTCAGCCGAACAGTACACAAGGTTCTAATGGGAACAGTAACGCGAGTAATGTGTGCACTCCTCAGAATCACCAACCATTTGATAAAAAAAGGTACCATTTTCCCAAGCGCAACGTTTAGAAGGAAGGAGAAATGGACACAGCACGTAGAGATTGTTCGGGGAAAGGGGACTGCGTTGTGGGAGTTGCGATCAATGAAGGGAAACAAAGCAGGTGAATTGTTGAATGGAAGATTTTCTCTGCAAATATTCATCCAATTTTCAGTTAAAAGTACTTACAGACATAAATCCCAAGTTGAAGTAACCAGATGGGAGAGAGTAACCATGTGTAAATGGTTAACAGTCTTCATGTTAAAGGAGTGCCCAGAGCCAATTCACAAAGAGCTCTTATTTGCAGGGGAATGTAACCTGGCAGTCAAGGAAATCTCGGACTAAATACACATGAAGTCTTCAACTATCAAGAACAGCAATTCCTGGGGAAGGGGGAAAATCTCGTTTCCAGAGTTAGCACATTATTACATTTAAAGAAAAGGTCACACAGCTTCAAAGAAAGAACGGATAAAAATCAAACCAAACTCACTGCCATGAGTCAGTTCCCAGTCAGACTCCTACTAGAGATGCTCTACGGCAGAGTAGAACTGCCCCTGTGAGTTTCAAGGCTATAAATCCTGTTTGGTTTTTTCCCTTCAAAAGACAGTTTTATAGACATGCAATACAAATCAGTTGCTTAATTATATTAAAACGAGTTGTCCAATCATCACTACAATC